TCTCCGGCGTGGAAGGGCTGCGACTCTTCCTGACCACTTTGCTCTGACGAAGGCCCTAGGAAAGGCAGCCTCTCCACCCCCCCCCTCCTCCTCATGTCTCTCCTCCCAAACTCCAAAGGAAATCAAGGGCCTTGGGAGCCAAAAGCTACAAGACAAGGGGAAAAAGAAAAATAATCCCATGGTGTCGGAAGTGCTGTAAGCAGGGGGAAGGGAGAGCGAGAAAAACAGCCTGGCAAAGGGAGAGGAGGCATGAACTGCAAACCACCTTGGCTGAACACGTCTGGGCACTCGGGCAGCAGGATGGAGGGAAGGGAAAGGAGAGAAAACAGACAGCAGAGTGAAAGTGGAACAAGAGAAAGGCTAAGGGAGGGAAACCCAGCAAAGGCAGGCAGGGTTGGAGTGGGAGAAGGAAGAGGGAGTCCTTGGGGTGTGCGGGTCCCCTGACTGGCAGCCTTGGGGCTGTCCCTGGCAGTGGGGCTGAGGCAAGAGGGACGGCAGGGCGCACACAGGCTGGCAGTGCCAGCCCTGGGAACACCTGCGGGGAGCTGCAGGAGCCAGCCGGGGGGTGCTGGTATAGGGCCTGGAGGCAGCATGTGGGGCTGAGTGGGCAGGGGTGTGCCAGGCAGCAGCAGGCAGGTGGAAGCGCAGGCAGAGCAGCACTGTGGCCATGCTAGGAAGCAGGGCTAGCCCTAGGGGACCATGGGGCACGTGGCAAAGCTGGGCCTGTGCCGGGCTTTCAAAGGCACTCCCAGCTTGCCTTTAACTCGTTCCAGCACCGAGTGCATCCAAGGGACACCATCAGACGCCGAGCAGTGGGGCAGCCCTGTGGCTGGGGGGAGTCCCCATGCCCTGTGGCCAGCTTGCAGCAACTGGGACATGCAGGGAGCGAAGGAGCCGGGTGGGCTCGAGCCCCCTGAGCAGGGGTGGCTGTGCGGGAATGGCGGTGCCGTGCTAGCTGCAAGGGCAGAGTGGTGCTGACCAGAGCGCGTCCTGCTCCCAGTAACCCCAGCCGGGCAGGGGACTTTCCCATGCGCTCAGGGCGGGAGAGGGCAGCGGGAAGCATGCCAGCACTGCTGGCTTTCTCCTTCCTGTGCTGGTGCCTGCAGCAGCGTGGGTGACATTGCTAGCTGAGCCTTCCTACCCCAGATGCCCGGGGCCAGGCTGGGTGCTCACAGGGAGCTGCCTGGCTCCTCTCCTCCAAGGTGTGAAGGGGATGTTGGTTTTGGCCAGTTGGGAGCTGGTTTGTGGCTG